ACATAGTACCTGTCTGTAACATGATGCAGATGACTGAAAATTTTACATTCTAAGCATCACCATATTTATAAAAGTTTCTATATTACTGACTCTTAACTAGGAATAGTAATATAGTTTCTATATTACTGACCCTTAACTAGGAAACAAAGAGTTATAATGATGGAAAACATTCATCATGGATCCCTTTTCTTCTTTAATAGTTATATATGCTTAAATATGGGCATATATGCAAACGAAGTGGGTAATGATATCCAACCTCTTAGTTTGTGAATGTGATAAATATATCTAGTTCTAGGACAAAATCTACACTTACTATAATTGAGTCAATGGATGTGTTTCTTCACACATCAAATAAAAAATGAAGGAACAAAAATAGGTCTCAAGGTACACTATCCTATTTTCTACTAATATTCCATATGAAGCCATTTTGTTATCAATAAATATGAATATATTATAATTCTTACATACTTGTGGGAGTAAAAATTCTGTATTTTTAATGACAGTAAATTTTGCAGTGGTAGGTGTTTTTACTTTCCCCATCAGACTATTCCTTAACAGATTAAAAACTTTATTGTAAAAAGTAAATGTATTATAAATGTATATACTATCAATTTTATCTATATAAAATTGATTTGCATCATTAAATAATGGGGCATGATATCCATTTCCTACATTTTGATTTATAAATTATAACTTTTTCATACCACTATACATTTTTTTCAATACATACATACATATATACATATTTATATGCAAATAAAAATAGAATCTAAAAAAGGAAAGAGGAAGAGGTAGGGAAAAAGTAAAATTGGGGAAGGCAAACAAAGAGAAAAAATATTTTTAAAAGTAACTTCTGATCTTTTTTGATATAGATGAAATCCTAAAAATCAGTGATCTTTTGAACTACAGAATAACAAACACTGTTTACATTATCACAAACAAGTCTATTAATTGAAATTCAAGATTAAAATTTCATTTAATTTCAAACATAGTTATGGAGTGGCTTCCAAATAGAAACAACACCTAATGACTGTTTTTCTTTTTATCAAAGCAGTCAATTTTATCTTCTTCATCAACTGCTAATTTCATCCCCCATTCCTACACTGTGAATATATGTAAGTCTTTTCACCTCTGCATATAGAAGACTTTTGTTAACATTGTCCTATATAAACAAAGTTCCGTTTTGTTTTGTTTTTGTTTTTGTTTTTTAAATCCATTTGTCCTTTACACATATAAGAAAAATTTCTTTATTGTACATTCAGTTTAAGAATGCTTCAAGCTAAATGTATTTATAATCATTTTTATCTTTATATTTTTATAAGGGTTGGTACTCATTTGAAGAAAGTCACCTTTTTTAGCTGTCTTCCCAATGCATATTTGACCTCCTTGTTCCTTAGGCTGTAGATTAATGGATTCAACATAGGAATTACAACAGTATAAAAAATAGAAACAACTTTGCCTTGATTTGGAGAGGCCATTGCTCCAGGCTGACCATACATGAAGAAAGCTGTTCCAAAGAACAAAGTAACAGCCATGATATGGGAAGCGCAGGTTGAAAAAGCTTTGTGTCTCCTCTCTGCAGAAGCCATGTGGAGAATTGTGGCCACAATATAGACATAGGAAATCAAAACTATAGTGGATGTTATCACTATGATAAACCCACACAATGCTAGAAGCACAATCTCATTTACAAACGTGTCTGAGCAGGCTGCTTTCATTACAGCTGGGACATCACAAAAGAACTGGTTAATTTCCCTGGGTTCACAATAGGATAAGCTGAAAGTAAGGCTTGTCTGTGTGCAACAGTTGATGAAGCCAAAGAAATAGCAAGCAGCTATTTGAAGTATACAGGTTTTTCTGGACATGATGATATTGTAAAGCAGGGGATTGCAGATAGCAGTAAATCGGTCATATGCCATCACAGCTAGGATAAAACATTCAGTTGTTCCAAAAAGAGAGAAAAAGAACATTTGTATGGCACATGCATTATAGAAAATACCTTTCTGCCCTGTTGCAAAGCTCACCATGGCTCTGGGAGTTATAACAGAGGAATAGCAGATATCCAAGAAAGATAAATTCTTCAGGAAAAAGTACATAGGACTTTGGAGCTGAGGGTCAAGAATAATAATAGTGATCATTCCAATATTCCATATCAATGTTACGATGTACAGCAGCATGAAAAGAAAAAACAAGCCCAGCTGTAGCTCTTGGGGACCTGAAAATCCTTCCAAAACAAATTGTGTGATTTTGGAGTGGTTTCCCATTTTGTTCTCTGAAAAATGGAACATGTGGGATAAAAACATAATGAGTAATAATGCAACATTGGCTTTTACATAGTCGGACACAAATGACAATAAGTTATCAGATCAAGGTTCATAAATGTTTTGCCCACTTCCCAGTGCAGTCCATTTTAAGTCTATCTTATTTATATTTGAATAGTGGATGAATGTTATCTTGTTTGACATCATTCAACCCTGAAAAAATAAATCAGCTTTAATTATAATCATTGCTGAGATTGACATCATGGATTTCTTCAGATACCAAGAAATAAAATTTTAAAATACAAGTTCATAAATAACTTTAGTCCTGAAGGCAAAAAGATAGAGCCTTTTCTTATGTGTTTGTACAACGTATCATGTATTGAGTAAGAACATTCCAGTTTGAATATTTAATTTAAAATTCAGTTATTACCTTTAAATATTTTGGATACAACCATACTAAACTAATATCAGTTATGTGTTTAGCTGAGAATTTCCTGATATATTTGCTTTCCTTTATATAGTAAGTACTGTAATGTCTTTGTTTTTACTTCACCATAATATTCATTCCCCAAATGTTTTAAAATTAATAGTCAGATCAATTTATATGATATACTTTATGTTTAAGTTTTGAACTTGAAAAATTCCAATTTATTATTCTTATAGTCAGATATAATACATTCCAATCACAATCTACATTCATACATATAAATACAGAAAACAAACCTAAAACTGAGATTTTTTATGAAAATTTCTTAAATCTCATTATTTCCAAAGTATTATAAAAATGTGGGGCTACTATATAGAAATTATTAACCATTTCTTTTTGTGTTCTGTTGAATTCTGTTATTGAAATCTAATGCCATCTCTCCTTCCCCATATTGAACTTACACTGAAAAATGTTAAGTCTGTGAGATATAAAAAACTCTCCATCATTAGCAAGTAACAAATAATTATTATTTGTAATTATTTTGAATAAATAAATATTTGCAAAAATAAATACACTAAGGGAGTGTAAAGAAAGGTTGACTCACACTTTTCTGTGGCACTCCATTCAGCTTATTCATACATTTGATAAGAAAGAAATGCCATCAATGTAATCTTAAAAAGTCTGTCATTATCCACTGAAATATCCCATCCTTAAAATGAGTGCAATAAAACTAAGGATTTGGAAAGATTTCACAGTGATGGAATCAGCTAGAAATGCATATTTATCTGAAGGAAAGTTAAGAAAACTATTTTTTCATCATTATCTGGTGAGGACAGTGAGAGGAAGAAAGAGGGGGGAAGGAAAGAGAGAGAAGAAAGAAGCGAGGGAGGGAAGAAAGAAGGAAGAAAGGAAGTCTGTCCTTCATGTCAAAGTCCATATTATTTTATTCACATTAATTCAGAAGTGGTTTTCATTCTTACACAGAAACAAATATATGTAGGCATTTTTTTTCCAGGGTGTTATTCATATCATCATTCCTCATCTCCAAAAACTTGTCAGGTTATTTATATTTTTACCTATGAACATGAGATATGCAATAGCAGCAACAGCAGCATGCCCTAATCACATGTTTTCAATGTTCTGTTTCTTAACACAAGGATCAAAAGTTCAAAACAATAAAAGACAATTTTGTACATCAAAATCTATTGCCTAATTAACAGAATAAAAATATTACACTAATAACATCTACAATACCAGTTTTTTTCTGGTATGAAACATCAATGATCTTTCACCTCATTCAGTAACTGAAGAATAAGATGCACAATTGTATCTTATATGAAGACTACTTCAAGGCATTGTACATGTTCTACTCATAATTGCATAAAAATAACCAGAAAATTCTGCTGAAATGGATGAAAATTACTCAAAGCAACACAGTCCATTTATCTCCATCAACAATCATTAAATAAGCATTATTATATCTTTCCACAATAATTTTCTCTCTTTAAAGGTAGCAATTGCTCATTTTAATTAGATCCCCCAGAGTTGTGGCACCTAATGGAGGCAGGTTTCTTAACTGCAAAGTTATGAAATATTTCTGTTTTAAGATTCTGTTTGTTCATTTCTTCCAGTTTTTAAGATACAATATCTTATAGCTTATTTTAAAGAGGAATAAGAGAGGGCAATGTCTGATATCTAGATCCATCCTGCTCTGGATCCAGATAGTATACTTAAACAACATGAAATTACAACTGAGACATTACTTTATATATTTTTCTTATGATGTTAATTTGGCTTATTTATTTGTTTGTTATTCCTATATTTGTTATTAATTATTATTCATGCATTTATTATTTGTTATATATTCATTTGTTTATTCATTTGAAATTTTATAGCTCGGTGGAATCAAAAGAGTTGCTACCCCTGAATTTAAAGATCTACAACAATAACACAAAAGCTTGAAGTGTCAGTGTTTATACTTTCAATTATTATTCTCGATTGGATATAATTCCATATATTTCACATTTATAGTTGACCAAAATAAAGAGTGATATACTGAATATTTTGCAATTTTAAAAGTGTCAGTATGTATTACATGGGTATTCATTGTGATTTCTAAAAATAAAATAAAAAATAGTATATCAGTGAACCTCTCAAAACAAAATTAGCACATGAAATAATTTCTGGGCAAACAAATAAAATGGAAGTGCTTGGTAAATTCAGTTACAACCACCACAGGGGTATGCTTACTGAAATTTTGTTTATATTTGTAGACGTATTCAGTTGCACTAAGTAACTTCTTTGCCTAAGTATTAGCGAAAAAATGTCTTCCGCAAGGCACAATTTATCTCTTTATTTCTGAGACAATATATTAGAGGGTTCAAAAGAGGAACTATCACAGTGTAGAGTACTGACACAAGTTTGTTGG